AGGTCACCCGTCAGACAGCACGAAAACAAACACTAAACGGGCGTGCAGACAAGTATCTTCATGGAAATAAACAAAGGTGTTCGATTAGAAACGTTAATCATGAAAAGAAACTGAAGATTTAATTAAAAAACCACTAAGTCCGTAGAAAACGAGCGATGAATGGCACAACGGACACTTCATATGTACTTTTGGTAACCACCTCTTCTGAAATGTAATCTGGTTGAGTGTCAAGCCTCGCTGGTCGAGAGCAGGCCAGACTTTCGCACAGAGAACTGACCGGATTCAAAAGACAGAATTTTCTACCAAAGCCATCTTATTGCTATTACGACCTGCTTTACATTTTTGACACAATGCTCTTTCGTGTCGTAACCGCTGACTCGAGAAATTCGCTTCATGCAGTAAACCAGTAAGGTGGCATCGTTCTTGAATAGCACAGAGAAGAATGGAGGGCTTGCAGGTAATGATCGGATGCACGCAGGTAAAATATATTTTTTGGACAATTTTGCGACTGTTAGAGATCGTCACGGCTGAAGCAAAAATTTGTACAGCCGTTGGGTCTTCTCTACCACTGCTTTTATGTGCTCAAGTCAATAGGAATTATTAACGATTCTGAGATGTACATATTTCTGTGAGTGAATGACTCGGCTATAACCGTAGATCGAGTAAACAGGGCTCGAAAATGAAAAAGAAAAAATCTGTAACAGTTGGAATGCTGATCTTCGCCATGATGGGGGCTTTCACCATATGACGGGGACGGTTTTCATGCCATTTTTTCATGAAATTAATGGTAAGGCGCTGATCTGCATTTCCATGCCATCAGCCAAGAGTGCATTATTTTAAAAGCAAGGCCGACAACAATTACGTAGTACGCATAACCTCTAGTCACGCTACCTGCTTGCTTCCCACCGAGTGCACGCGTTCATCAACCCGAGAAGGAAGAAAGGAGAGTGATCTTACCAAGGCTCGAAACTGGAACTTTTCGGTTCGCAGTCTCACTCTCATCGACTGAACAACAACGTATGTCTCGTTGACAAACCGGAGAAACTTAATTCCACCAGTTTCACAAGAAAGGCGAGTGTCCAAAGAAATAATCTTTTTATCTCAACTGCTAGCAACCCTCAGCGAACAGAGAAGGTATGTTTCACAAGAAATATACATTGCATATTTCCATGCTTCAAGACAAAACAGCTTCTGCTAAAACCATCCGTTTGAAGTCTGCAATGAAGGTAAGACGACATACATAACCACAAGTCCAAAATGATCAGAAATCAGCATTATACAACCATTGCCTTGCAGGATTCATTTCGCAACGTGGCAATCAAATTCAAGTTGACTGTGAAGACGAACTGCAGATTAGCAATCTATCAA